GGTTCACCGTCCCGGGCCAATGGGGGCGGCGAGAAGCCACGGCCAGCACATCGCTCGCCCGCGCCGCTTCCCGCCACCCCCATTGGCCCGGGACGGCGAACCGCGGCCAGTGGGGGCCGCGATCGGCCGAACCTGCCACGTCAGCAGGTAAATAAAACTGGCCCGGCCCGCCAGGGTGCTTACCCTGGCGAGCCGCATGCCAAACGTTGCCGACCCCTGGTGTAACATGTCCCACTTTGATATGAGTCTGTTACAGCCCTACATAAAGAGCTTTGGCTCTTTATCTCAAGTTGTACAACTCATGCTTTTAGCTCTTTTAGCGTTTAGTCCCCAGTTCAATCCCTGATGTGTCAGCCAAGATTAGTGATTACTTAATATTATTTAATGGTGTCATATTACCTGCTGCATTTGCATGATCAGTGACTATTTTTTCAAAATCTTCTCTCTCCCCGTATTTCCTGCAAAGACCATAAAAATGTAAATTTAAAAAAATTATCTGCAAAATCAACAATAAAACTTAATGAAGATCACATTGCAATGAAAAAAAGACTAGGAAAGTAACATAAAATATCTTCCCCATGCATGCTGTGTAAAGATTGGCTCTGTTGATAAATATGCAAATTTTCATTTAGTCAGAAATGGGCCTTGGTACAATATTACATTATCCTGTAAACTTGTGATATATTAATGTTTTAAGTGGTGTGATCTTGAATTAAATGGTAAGAAATATAGATCAAATGCTATGGACCTTAATTGATTGAAATTCTCATTGACTTCAGCATTTGGCTTATGGTGACATTTTCTACTTACCTGTACTAGTATTCTATAATCTATAATATAATCAGGCATTTATTGAAATTATGCATTTCTCTGAATTAATTTACATTAAAAATGCATGTTAGAAAATATTTCTATTTTACTGATAAATATCAGGGGTAACTCCATTGATCTCAAAATTAATTAGTTCAGTGGAGTTGCTCCAGATTTGTACAAGACAAGAATTAGGCCCACTGAATTCTCTTGAGGTAATCAGGATTCACTGACAAATTCTGAGCTAAACTAAGGATTATCCTTACCTTGATTTAACCAATACATCTTGAAGACATTGTACATATACTGTTCCCTACATTCTGAATCTGAAATACCTGGAAAAATACATATCACCATAGTACTGTAAGTGTCTACATTCTTCATTATCATCCGGATTTTCAATAGTTTATTTTTTTTCTCTTTCAGACTAACATTCTAAAAGGAATATAAAATTAAAGATCAAGAAAAAAAATAATCCCCATTGATGAACCATTCAGGAAGCAGCAATTAACATATACTATCCGATTAGTTAATTTTGGATTAGTCAGTGTTTGTAAAGTACTTTTAAAATGTAAAATATTATTTATGTGCTACGTAAGAATTGTATATTGTTGTTGTTAGTAGCAACATTTTCCCTTAATTCAGTATTGTTTTCTCCTGCAGATACAAACAATAAACACTTAGGCCAACATTTTCAAAAATATCCACTAATTCAGGAGGTGACGCTTTTTAAATGCCCAATTTGAGATACCTTGAGGGGCCTCATCTTTTAGAGATGCTGAGCACAGTTAGCTCTCATTGACTTTGACTGAGGGTATGTCTACACTGCAGTTAAACACCTGCAGCTGACTCGTGTCAGCTGACTTGGGCTAGGGGCTGTTTAATTGCAGTGTAGGCATTTAGGCTCATGCTAGAGCCCAGGTTCTGGTACCCTCTGCCTCTAGCCAGAACCCAAACAAACATCTACACTGCACATATCTGCTGCAGCCTCTGTTAGTTGGGCTTCTATAAACACTCCTGCCTACCTACCCAAGGGGTGGTCCCTGCACCAATGTTGTTGAATTAGCCCAGGGATTGGCAACCTTTGGCACACAGCCCATCAGAGAAATCCGCTGGCGGGCCGGGATGGTTTGTTTACCTGCAGCGTCTGCAGGTTTGGCCGATCGCAGCTCCCACTGGCCGCGGACAGCACATCCCTCGGCCCACGCCACTTCCCGCAGCTCCCATTGGCCTGGAACGGTGAACCACGGCCAGTGGGAGCTGCGATCGGCCAAACCTGCAGACGCTGCAGGTAAACAAACCGTCCTGGCCCACCAGCGGATTTCCCTGACAGGCCATGTGCCAAAGGTTGCCGATCCCTGAATTAGCCCGTTAGTTATTTAAGTCAGACAACACCTCTATAAGTATTTTTAAATAAACTGTTGCACAGAGAAATTAAGTGACATGAACAAGGCCACACATTAAATCAGTGGTGGAACTGAAAACAGATCTCAGGAATCCTGATACCCAGTCACCTTCACTAACCACTCCTTTCCATTCTCACAAACACATTAAACGTACCTGTTTTCTTTTATTTTGTTCTTTGCTAATGTTCTCTGAAGTGCAAGATGTAACCTTTCAAACTGGAAATGAGAACAGATAAGTTAATTAAAATGTCAGTTGCTTAAAATTGTAGCTGAGTCCTGGCCTGACATGAGCAATTAACATTTGGCTGGAGGTTTCATTTCTTGGAAGACAGAATGGGAGGTAAACAGACCATTAGGTTGAAAACCATAGAATGTCTGAGTCAGCTAAGACAAGAGGGAGAACACTCAGAACCATTCACTAGGAATGTAGACATGAGGTAAGGAATAGGTCGAGCATGTACAATTCAGGGACAGAGCATGCTACACTGGGAATTTTTCCTGCAAAGTAATCAAGTCAATCCAAAAATGTGTGATGTAAGGTATAGTAAATGCAGTGAGATGTGTAAATGTATGTAAAGGGAGAGAGTTTCTATATAACTTTGGAGCTTTGATTTACCCTGCATTCACCCCCCCACCCCACCCCACCCCCAGGTTTGAGTTGGATCAACTCAGCGTAGTGTTGCTGTATGCCAAATAAAGGCACCTCAGTGACAAAATCTGGAGTTGAACTGAATTTTTTGGATCCCAGAGAACTGGATGAAGTGTTCTGGGTAAACTGAGTGGAAAAGGTCTCAGAGGAATCCAACAAAAATGTAATAAAGAGAGTTATATTATTATAAAATGGCTTTATTTGCTTTTTAAGAATTAATATCCCCTTTCAAAGAGTGAAAGTCATTAGAAAAGCATAAAATATCAATTTTTAGAGATTAGTTTATGTTGGTATCTTGAGTTCCAGTAACAGTCTAATCAAGTTCTCTGTGTCAATGTGCCACTATGGTGCTGTATTCTAAATACGGTGATGTGGCTTTACTTCCCTGTTGCTAGATGCTGATAAGGAAAACACCGTTTCTAAAATGTAGCTTTTGACATAATCAGCTCTACTTTCTATTGCCATAAATTAAAAATGAAAAAGACTAAACACCATAGAGCAAAACTGCCATAAGAAATGTGTCTGTAAGAATAAGAAAAATAATCATAGAATCATGGAAGATTAGGGTTGGAAGAGACCTCCGGCGGTCATCTAGTCCAACCCTCTGCTCAAAGCAGGACCAAACCCCAACTAAATCATCCCAGCCAGGGCTTTGTCAAGCTGGGCCTTAAAAACCTCTAAGGATGGAGATTCCACCACCTCCCTAGGTAACCCATTCCAGTGCTTCATCACCCTTCTAGTGAAATAATGTTTCCTAATATCCAACCTAAACCTCCCTCACTGCAACTTGAGACCATTGCTCCTTGTTCTGTCATCTGCCACCACTGAGAACAGCCAAGCTCCATCCTCTTTGGAAACCCCCTGCAGGTAGTTGAAGGCTGCTATCAAATCCCCGCTCACTCTTCTCTTCTGCTGACTACATAAGCCCTGTTCCATCAGCCTCTCCTCATAAGTCATGTGCCCCAGCCCCCCTAATCATTTTTGTTGCCCTCCGCTAGACTCTCTCCAATTTGTCCACATCCTTTCTGTAGTTGGGGGGGGGGGTGGCAAAACTGGATGCAATACTCCAGATGTGGCCTCACCAGTGTCAAATAGGGGGGAATAATCACTTCCCATGATTTGCTGGCAATGCTCCTACTAATGCAATGTTTTCATATTGCAGTTAACTTTCTCCTAAAAAACTAATTATATTTCTTATACATCCCACATTGAAGGACAACAGATAATGCTTCTCTTAAGCAATAACATTTCTACGGGCATTAAGTGCTGCAATTTTTTTCCTGGCAATTTTAGGAAGTCATGTTGAAGGGGTCAAGATGAAAAGTCATAAAATACAGTTTCCAAAATAAGCACCAACCAGTGCTTCAAGTAACCGCTACACCCATTTTTGTGATGATAAAATACATGAGAAAAGAAAACAGTTTTTAATATAGGAATTCCCATAACCCCAATGTGACTCTGCCCATCTAAAAAAGGCATCCTAAGGGTGAAATTCTGGTTTCTTAAAGAGCCAGGTAAAAAGACTTGGTAAGAATGGCCGACTAGGGTGCCTGGAGGATATAATCCAACCCCCCCCACTCCAGCTCACACTTGCACATCCACTCTGCAGTTCCTACTCCAGCCACCAATCTGGAACACAGGCCACAGCTCTCTGCACACACCTTATATATGGCTCTGGACCAGTGAATCTGCCCTGTGACTGGATCTATTGACCATGCCCCAGCACCACTCAAAACCCACACCTCCATGGTCCAGCACAGAAAACCGCCAGGGAGTATGCTATACTCTCATTTCAGGGTCCCTGTGTACAGACTCTCTTTGGTCTGGCCTGTCTACCCCCAGTGGAAATGTATCAGTTCCACTGTAATTTCTACTTTGTATGCTTCCAGAAGACAGGCCAGGAAGGAAGGATACTCTGCCAGAAAAACAAATATCATAAGGAAGGCAAATAGTTTGGTTTTCAAATAAACCCAAAAGTGAACAACTGTTCTACCTCATTTAATCAAGATGTAATTCACACGAACATATCAACAGGAAGATTGTGGAGGGCCATCCAACTCTTTACTCAACTCCAAGTATTGTACTGTATCACTCCAAAAAAAAAAAAAAAAAAAAAATCTAAACAAGCAAGGAAGCAAAAAACCCACATGTGTTCTCTTGTATCTTGAGCCTAATGAAAAGTTATTTTGGGCCATATTGTGCCCTTGATTCCTACGCATAAGTCTCACTGACATCAATGGAAGTGACACGCTCTGATCAGGGACACAATCTGGCACTTTGCTTTGAAGTTTTCAAATTGAAAAAAGGGTGACATAAGTCACTGTTAGGCAGGGCAGCACAAGGTAATCTAGTAAGAAATAAGCTTTTAAACAAACTTAAATCCATCTTGAAGGGAGGATGATTGGGAAAACAGGCCCTGATCCTGCAGCTGATAGGATGAAAACAGACTGCTGTGACTGCACAGAGCTCCACTGATTTCAACGACTGTTAACTCCTGTTGTAGTGACCTTGGGCTAGGTCCTTTGCTGGTGCACATGGTCACAGCATCAGTGGAGTTGCATCCTTTTATACCTGATGAGGATCTGGACTATGGTCTTTCTATATGGAAGAGCTGTGTACACTTACATCATTCTCCAAATAGCAAATAAGAGAGAGAGAGAGAGAGAATTAGAAGCAGCAAATTAAAAATAAAATTAGCCAAACAAAATATGCTTGGGTCACAGACACTATTTTAACAAATGAGTGTGGTGGGACCACTGCAAGAAGGCACTGTGGCCAATACATTTGCCTACAGAATTTAATTTTCTCTGAATTTACAACTGACTGTTTTAAGTGATGGCTGTCTTTCATGTTACTGCACAAGGCAGAAAGTAAAAAAAAAAAAAAGAGAGAGTCTATTAAAAATTGATAGGCTGAGTATAAGAAATGGAAGAGTTGTGAAAACAGATATGCAAATAGAATGAACAACATTCCATCGCTTGCAGAAATGTGTGCTGAATGTCACCAGCCAAGCTAACATAGACACTCAGCACATTAACAGTTGAAAACTTATTTTCCCCCATTAAGAATTCATGACAACCAACTTGACCACTGATCACCAACTCCCCATCCACTAGTAGGTTAAAGCATGCGCTATACACATGACATCACACCTATCATGGAACTCAGCCTAAGCCAGACAATTGGACTATGTTTATGCTGCAGCTGGCAGTGCGTCTACCAGCCTGAGTAGACAGACATGCTCTAGCTCTCCTCGAGCTAGCATGCTAAAAATAGAAGAGTGGATGCAGTGGCATGGATGGTGGCTCAGGATAGCCACTTGAGTCCATGCCCACCCCTGGGTCCAATCTTGGGTGACTAGCCCAAGCTGACACCTATGCTGCAACACCTACACAAGCTAGCACAAGCCTGTCTATATGGACTGGCAGTCTCCCTCCCATCTGCAGTGTACATATACCCTTGCAGGTCAAGCAGATGCTTTCTAAAATCTGTTTGGTGCAGGTTCACATAGCTCCTTTCACTGAGTCAAACCCTCAGTTCTCACTACTATTGAAATCAATGGAGTTTGCCTGTGCATAGACCTCACTATTTGGGCAATGTTTAATTATTTATTTTTAGTATTTAAAACAACTACTATCAATACTTTTTGAAACCGATATTGTGCATGCAGAATGTGGCACCTGACTGCTCAGCTAGTTTGAGCAGGGCATGTGAATCTTCTATTTCCTTTTGCACTAGGCCTCAAGTTGCACCTCTGAAAATATGTCTTTACTATTTCTGCACGTCACTATTATTTGTATTATTAATTTAGCACAGACATTCTGTTCAGTGCAATACAGTAGGAAATGCTTCAAGCAGTTGGAAGCTAGGTGAGGTAACCCTTAATGAGGCGAGTAGGCCCACTGGCTTCAATACTGCACGTAGGCGTCCTGTTGACTTCAGAAGGTCTACTTGTATGAGTAAGCATTACAGGTTTGGGCCCTAAATCAAACACAAACAATACAGTTTAAACAAGCAATATGCCAGAAGGGCCTTCAGTATAGAAGCAGTATGGAAATAGCTATTTTGCATTTTTATTAAAAGGATTTACCTATCTGTAGTGGATTATGTGTAAGGATTTGCAGAAGAAATGTATTTTTAAGGAGTGATTTAAATGAAGTGATGGAGGATGATTAATGTAAACGGAGAAGGGAGGCCTTTGAAGAGTATTGAGCAGCATGGAAGAAGGGATGAAGCGAAAGAGGCACAACGATTCAAAATGGATTTTGGCACAATTATATCCAGCAGTAGTGGGAGAATGAAGAAATGAGAGCAGAGATGTAGGCAAGGACAGAGCTATGCAAGGCCTTGAAGGAAGAACAAGGAGCTTGAACTTGATTCAAAGACTTACATATACTTTAATGCTTATTTAAAATGCATTCTTTGAATGTTTATCCCTAATGCTCTAATAAAATATCATTATCAGTACACTGTAATCATTTACCTCAGGAAAGAGCAGTTTACAGATGCTTTCAGCTAATGTGTGCAGATACACTCTGCTTCTACTGGTTTTCCTTTTTGGAAGGGTCCCATGAGTGTCTTTTTCACTGACTTCTTTGCAGATGGGCAAAGCTGCTCTAGAACTATTTGGCACTTCTGCACATTCCTCCTCATGTTCATCAGATATATGACTTTGGGTCAGTAAGGAGAAAGGACATTCCCCAGTGATCTTCAAGTCTTTCAGTTTGGTACAGAACATACTGTCTCTCTGTCTATTGAGATTAAGAGTACTTTGCTTTGTGTTTAATTCTCTTCTGCTGACTAACAGTAGAAGCCAGAACAGTAGATGAAGGCAATTGCTGTGGAAGATTTGTCGTTATAAATCACTGCAGGAACAGATGTAGCTTTATAACCCTACAAAACAAGAGGAAAGAAAAAAAGAGAATCAAAACATGAAAGAATGATAGTGTACACTAATTTAGTTTGCCTTATGGCTATGGAAATGTCAAGTTATGGTAAGGTCAGCCTTACCATAACCCGGAGGCTCTGACCCAAGAAAGAACTTAAGCACATGCCTAACTTTAAGCACATGAATAATCTCATTGACTTCAACTACTCATGTACTTAAAGTTATGTGCATGTTGGATTGGGGCCCTGGTAGCTAATGCAGAAACATATTTTATCTGAACTGTAACTGTGATCATGTTGAAGAATTAGGTCTCTGTTGAAAAAAACAAACAAAGACACACTGACAACAGTCAGAAAACATATTTCATTCCTGTTCAAAAAAAACTACCTGAAGTGGAACAATGGGATTAGTTTTTACTAACGTGGGAATTTAAGCCTCAGTGCTCTTGATACTCACAGTATCACATTCATAGTCGGTGCAAGTATGACTGAGTTGGATGTACTTGCACTTCTGGAATGTAAGACCATGGATGTCAAGATCCAGCCCCTCAGTTCAGGGCTGTTGTCCTGGCCATGCAGGTAGAAAGGCAAGCTGCAATAGATGTAGTTTAATTAGGTTGCAACTGTATTCACTTAACACATCTGGGAATACGCAGCAATAAATTGTACATTGCTGGTCATCTTTCTTTCCTTAATCATTTGGGAGGGCTGCCATCAGTTCTCCCCATTTCCAGTCTGGTCCAAGCCTGTTGCTGGGACCCCACCATTCTCCCCTCATCTGAGAATTAAAGGTGGGTGGGAAAAAGGTGGATTTGTCTCCCATGGAACCAGATTTTAGAAGCCCCAACCCTCCTTTTCCCAGCTTCCTTAAAACTACTTCCAACTCCTGTTTATCAGTCAACTATATCCTCTTTGTAACAAGTATATGCCACACCTGTTACCTCCTAAATTGAGATATCTTGACTTAACCTCCAGACTGGGGGCAGGGACAATTATGGAACGGGATAGACAAAATTCAAAAAGTTAAAAGCTTTATAAACCATTAAAACACAAATTTTCAACATCACGTGTCAAAATATAGAAAGTAAATATCCAGAAATCAACAAATCATGCCAGTTTTTACTATTCGTTTTAGTCTATTTATAATAAGCCTAATTCAAAAGTCTAAATCACATGATTTTGAATCTAAAAAGTTCTCAAACAGCATTCTTCTTTCTTTGCCTATCTGTAAACTCTGATTATCGTCAATGGAAATATTTTTGCATCCGATTCTCTATGTATGGTGAAATCAACATTTACCGACATTTATCCCTCCCCTTGGAGAGGAGGGATAGCTTGGTGGTTTGAGCATTGGCTTCCTAAATCCAGGGTTGTCAGTTCAATCCTTGAGGGGGCCATTTAGGGATCTGGGGCAAAAATCTGTCTGGAGATTGGTCCTGCTCTGAGTAGGGGGTTGGACTAGATGATCTCCTGAGGTCCCTTTTAACACTGATATTCTATGATCCACAAAAATCTAATCCTTCCAAGCATGATAATAATGTATATGCTATGTTGTTAAATATGTTCTTTAGGTCTTTGATTATGCTTAAGCACATGCTTCAGTGCTTTGCTGAATCGGGACCTTACTTTTTAAGAACAACGCTGAATCAGTTTAATATCATTACAGAAGCACTTTGTATAAACACTGTACCAAATACACTAGAATTTAAGAAAAAAGTTTCTTTTTGAAAAGAACTTTTGGAAAACAATGTAGCATTGAAATATAGTGACCATTGGAAAATGGCTCCCGATGAATGAAATTCTTAATTTACACACACTGCCTCTGATTAGAAATGAACTGTATGAAAATTTCAAATTCTCAGCTTTTGAAGAATGAAGGGTTGCGTTAACCCTGGTAGCATTTGAACCTATGGCTCCAGTAAGTCTAGTTATTCCAAACATGAGCTTGATCTTCTTACAATTGAAGTATATGTCAAAACCTTCATAGATTTTCAAGTGAGAAGAATTAGGGCCTTGATGATTCCAATAATATTAATAAAAATATTATTACTGTACTAATATTTAAATTTCAACACAGTTTAAGAAAAGGCTGAAGCTTACTCCTAACAAAGGTTTTCCTAAGAACTGATTTGTTATTACTATCGCTAAATACATTTTTTTTTTTACAAAAAGAAACTGGATGGCCCTTTGGTACACGATATCTCCATTCAAAACCACAATGCACTGAATTAGCCTAACAAAGTAGGGCCAAACCATGAACCTCTACATGGCCTTACACAGAATCAAACCTTTAATGAAAACTAAGTAGGAAACATAATTCTACAATGTCTTGGCAGACTCATGTACAGAAACATATCGACAGTAGCAAGACAATACATTATCATGCTACTGTTTACTGGGGAAATACCATCAGTTATACCGGGCCTTAAAAAAGTATGAGAAATATGGGACATGGAGTACATCACAGCCTGAATCAGACAGTCCCAATACACCTCTACCCCGATATAACATGGCCCGATATAACACGAATTCTGATATAACGCGGTAAAGCAGTGCTTCAGGGGGGCGGATCAAAGCAAGTTCGATATAATGCGGTTTAACCTATAACACGGTAAGATTTTTTGGCTCCCGAGGACAGCGTTATATCGAGGTAGAGGTGTACTTGTTTGAAGATTGATGGTTGCTCACAACACTTGAACACACCCACTGACAACAAATTATAATTTAAAAAGATATGAGGAAACTTGGAAAGTTTCTAGCCCTGTCCTTGCTGCCCAAATCATGCTCTTACAAAGTCCACCCCAGGAGAACTTCTAGTTTTTAATTCATGTTCTCCCTCTGTCTCATATTAATTCTCATCATATTTACCTTTGAAAGGAAGTTTAAAAAAAAATCACAGCTCCCAGGATCAAACAACGAACAGTAAATGTGTTGATCATTTGACTCTGTCCAAAATTATACCATGCCATGCAGAGGAAAACACTGATGAATTATACAGGGTATTTACTGCATTGCTCAAAATCTTTTGTTTTTAATACTTTTCAGTATACTTCCATCTATACTTCCCTGTATACCAGATGAAGTGCCTTCCTCTATGCTCACCTGTATTATTTACCTGTGAATTCTTTACTCTAGTAATAAATGTCCATGACAATAATTTTAAGTACAGTGCAATGGATCATACCTTTCAAAAACAGGCTAATATTAAAATTTCCATGAAGAGCAGATGCATGACTACTTGTTAACTAGCATTTAACAAGCACTGTTTAATAATTTTATTTCATGCAAATAGGACAAAAATCATAAGCAAATTAGTCTATAAACCTAAAAGATTTATTTTATACTTATGTGGAGTACAGACATATAGTGAAGTATGGGGATTTATATCATCTCTTATCCTCAGTGATTTGAAATTAAGTGAGAGTACTTTGCCTAAAATACACACAGAGAAGATCCCCCAAACTCACAACAAAAAACATGTTCATCTTTTAAGAACTTTAAAGTATTTGTTTAGTCTCATTTAATCTCATTAAATCACATATGTATAAAAAAGTTAATTGTCTTTCTTCATCTGCTTTATTAGTAAGTTACCTTATGAAACAGATGCAGACTTCACATGCCAGGGAAACATTCATTCGTTTGGGTGTGGTGGCTGCTTTGGAGTGCACAGCAGCTCAACAATTGGAGGATATATTCACATCTGCATACAGGATTCTCAGTGTTAGTAAGAGTGGTTTCAGGCGGACAGCTGCCAGTTGCTGTGTTAGGTACTGCAGATCTTGGAGAAGAGTGTGATCCATGTGATCTCAAACCTGCCCATCTCCCAATGAGATGTTTGTGAAACCTTTTTGCATCTTTTCAGTACGGAGATTAACTCTCCCACTGAGGTGTTCGATGACACCACACCTTGCCTCCTGCTGATAATCTGGTCCTAATTTTAGCAGAGCAAACACATCAGCCAACCTGCCTGGAGGCAATTACATTAGTACCTAGAAATCATGAAAAACAATAAAAAAATTTTAAAATAGGCCAATAAAATACACTTCAAAAACATCAGATCCTAATCTGGTATTAACCATTGATCCCAAAGGAGCTACACAAGTTTATATCAGCAAAGAATCTGGCCCAGATACTTCTTCATACTCACATTATAAAATGGATATCTAATTTAACACTGGCAACACTATATAACCCTATTTTGTATGTCTATAGCATACAAAAGAAAACAATATTAAAAGATTGCACAGTTAAGCACTCACAAGCTAGGAAATGCCACAATTAAGTTTGCTTGTGCAGAACTTGGACAGAGTTGAGAATCTATCCTTGAGTGTCCTCATTCCTTGCACAGAACTCTCATTAGCATCAAGAAGAGTTTGGCATATAGGCATTTTATGTGTATATATAACATAATCATGATTCATAGATGAAGGGCAGAATATAGCCTTTAAAAAGCATAACATCTATTCTATACCATGTGTAGTACTCAATACAAGTGAATACACAGAGGGCTAGATTCTGGCCAGCGTCCACACTGGCACTATACTCAGGGCCGGCGCAACCCATTAGGCAACCGCCTAGGGCGCTACAATTTGGAGGGTGATGACCGCGGCAGTATTTCGGTGGCAGGACCTTCCGCCGCCTCTGTGGGGGGCGGCATTTCGGGGCGGGACCTTCCGCCGCCTAGGGCGGCAGAAAAGCTGGCGGCGCTCCTGACTGTACTGCACAAGAACTGGGACTGTATTGTTTTATTAAATGTAAAGAAATGTGATGAATCCGCTAAGCAGAAAACTGCTATCTCCCTCCTTGCTGCCCTGTGACTCTCCAGGATGGACACATGGATGCAGGCCCCCTGTCTTGACCAATATGGGGAGGGACAGAAACTCTATAAAAGACTCTGACCCAAGAAATAACCTCTCTCTCGAGGAAGGAACTTGCTGCATGATGAGCCAAGAGCAAAATAAAGATGCTGACTACAGGGAAGAAGTTGCTGAGGAACCACATGGCAA